CCTTCCCTTTCTCTGTTGACAGAAAATTTATTTTATCATGATCTTTTTTCTTTTCGCCTTCTTTAATTATTTTTAAAAAAGTACAAAGCTCCGATCTGTTCGTGGGGAGCAGCACGTGCTGGGAAACGCGCCCAGCCTCCCATATGGAAATATACAGGAAAAAATGAAATAGTGGGGCCATGACCCGGCTTCGGCTGGAATCATCTTGAAAGCTTCGGCTGGAATCATCTTGAAAGCTTCGGCTTGGGGAATTACCTACCTACCCAGCTTCGGCTTGTGCGGGAAATTGCGTCCAGCATCCCTTGCAAAGGGAAACCAATTTCGCTCCAAAATTTCGAAAACATTCCATAGTAGAATTGAATGAATTTCCAAAACAACGAAAAGTGCTGTATTTCTATCCTTGAGGCTTGTTCCTAAGCTCTGCAATTGGAGCCTTCTGTTTTACATGGGCAGTCCAGCTATCTCACCCGTTTCATATGAACTCTGGCCTGAGACTCAGCACTACTTCTCCTCACTATCATGCTGTAATGTTCATCATATTAACTCTCTTATGTCAAGTTCCTCCGCTGAATGAGAGTAATACATCATGATAGGACTTCTATCGCTGCTTACTATGGCCTGACACTGCTAGTCCTTTTTCTCACGTTCAGGGTAATGCTCCTCCTACGGTAGTCATTCTAAATGGAAGATGACTAACAGCAAATTGAATTCAACGCGCGAAGGGTTACTTTCACAGTTAACTCATTGAGTGTGTGGCATCCCATCTCATGTCGCATGCAGTCATCCTTCTGCCTCCTGCTAAAGGGGAGAGTAGGGGAGGTTTTCTACCATTCCCAAATGTTGTTTATGGATGTCGCACCAATCTGTTGACTGAGGTTTTCTATTTCATCTATCTTACTTGGTGATATTGTTTCCTTAAACGGCCCCAGCCTTGCACACGGCCCCAGCCTTGCAGAAAATGAACTCGTCAGTCTCGTCCCCACCAGCGCAACGTTCGGGGCCGGGCTGCCGTTGATAAATTTCATCGAAAGCCTCTAAGCATTTGTCTTTGTTGCGTTTCCAGCCCCGGAGAGTCCCTTACCGCACTAAGGGGCTCGTGGCCGGTGTATGGCCGAGCACTGGTGGTGTAATATGCCGATCTAGCTTTCTCTTGGTGTGTTAACCATTTGGGGTGTCGGTCCTTGTACTATGGTTTAGTGCGAAGATTGGTATCCTGCTGCCGTTCACAGGAGTGGGTTCAAGAATTCTGATTTGACTGTTTTTTTTCCCAAGTGGTTTTGTCTGGTTTTGGATTTGGCATGCCTACATGTTGTCTGATGCGGAAGTGGAGTTCAAGAAACATAGATCTCACTATCTCCCCCTCCCAGTAAGTCGAGTTGAATGGTTCTGGTAAAAGAGAGAGAGAGAGAGAGAGAGTTAAGAAGTAGGGATCTGAGTTGTACCCATCATGGTGCGTCGTTGGAGTCCTGCGTTGACGACTCAGGCTAAGAGAGAGAGAGAGAGAGAG